AATGTGGGAGGAGGGTGGAACATGGCAGAGGGTGAGGGATAGGGAATCAAGGATGGCAAAATGAAAAACAAAGTATACAAGACATAAGAATTGGAAAATTATTCGCTGATAACATGTATGTTGATGTGCTTGATTGAGCCTATACACAGTGTATTTTGGATGGAAAATTCATCTGTATGTTGTAATGATGTATAGTGAATTAATGTAAAAAATAAATAAATTTAAAGAGGAAAAAAAGTGAAAATTTCCAATTGAAGATGGCTAAAAAGGAAATGTTCTACTAAACAATTTTTCAACGGATTATGTGGTACTATTCAGACTTATCTTTCCACTGAACCCTCATTTACATAAGTTTCTCCATAATGGTCACTGGTAAAAGTGATTCATAATTAATTCAACAGCCTCTAATCTGTTTAAGGTTTCTGAATCATATGAGCCAAAAATTATTTATGAAAAGAATAAGTTCTAGAAGGTTAATTTCTTATTGAAAATACGACTGAGAAGAAGAAAACAAGAAGTGAGTCTTATCCTACATGCAAGTGTAAGTTACAGATTTATAAATTTTAAAAATGAACATACAGTTTTGGAATCTGAGCTCTTATTTTGTGGCTTGTAACTTTTGAAAAAAATCATGACAGGGCATGTGCATGAGAAGCACTCTCCACAGGTCTTGGTCCAGTTGTCCAGTCCACTAGGATTCTGGTGTGCACCCAGTGTGTTTTCAAGCCAATTGGGCCAGAGACTTGAACTGTGGTTAGCACATGGCTCCTCACTCCACAGTTTGGTATGCCAAGAACTGCTCCACAGAGGCTGGGCCACTGGCTGGGAACTTGTAAACATATGTCAAACTATAGCCATAGGAAAAAATTTCAGTATAGTATCATTATGAGTAAGTTAGACTTAAACAGAATGCTTTATCTTTAGGAGTAAATTCTTGGGCTATAAGGTGTTGAACAGTGTGCCTTCAAAATTCAGGTTCAACTTGAATCTCAGAGTGTGACTTTATTTCTATATAGGGTCTTTGGATGTAATCATATTAAGATGGAGGATACTGGATTAGGCTGATCAATGATAGCGGTCTTTATAAGAGAAAGGGGAGAGATATTTGGACATAGAGACACAGACACACACAAAAGGGATAAATCTGTGTAGAAGACAAGAAAAAATTGGAATGATGCAGTTATAAGCCAAGGAATGTTAAGGAGTGCTGGGGAAAAAAAATAGAAGCCAGGGAGAGACAAGGAAGAATTCTTCCCTGGAGCTTTCAAAAGCAAAATAGCCTTGGAGACACTTCAATTTTTGAATTCAAATCACCTTCAGAATTGTAAGAGAGGAATTTTCTTTTGTTTTAAGCCATCCAGTTTGTAGCAATGTGACATACCAGCCCTAAGAAACTATTAGGTTGTCAGAAAACTCATGACGTATTTTTTTCTGTTTTACTATGTAAAAATGCATCATGACTTTTATGTCAGTCCAATAGTACCCAGAGTTAAAAGGATATAAACTAAGCAAGGGGATGGGATTGACTTGGGTAGAGTTTACAAACCAGTGGTCAAAGTACAAGGAAATATCTAGAATGAGGTGAATATTTTAGGGTGGAGCCTTCCAGCTATCAAAGACTAGAATTTTTAATGGAAAGAAAAAGCTACAGGTTATTAATTCATCAGGGAAAAACAGAAACTCAAGATAAAGACTGGTGTGTTTAACCCAAATCTTAGAAAAAAATAGACAAAATCAGAGTTATATGTAATATGGAAATGAAGCAGTTAATAAGAATCAACCTGTGAAGTAAAAGTATCAGGTTCTAGGAACGATCTTCTTTCAGAGAACAAGTAATTCCTTTGCAAACTTTTTAACATGAGTTTCATTTGTAAATTTTTTTCTGAAGAATGTAAGCTTGTGTTATATTCTGTCGCTTGCTTTAGTCTGGGCAATAAGTTTCGATGATCGGAAATTATTTTTGCTGAAGAGTTACAAAGAAGTTTCCAGGATCCAGCAAGTAGCATGGAGGTTAGAGAGACTGGATACCACACTGTGTGGTTTGAGTCTTGGATCTGGCAGCTTGAAAAATGTGCCAGGTGCATGTGTGTGTATGACAAAAATACCAAAAGGAGAATGGAAGAGAAAGGACTGCAGTGTGGCCGTTCCCCCTGGATAGGGGTGTTTTTCTCACTGTCTCTCTCAGTAAGCACAAATACTCTATAGCAAATAAAAAATATATTTTAAATGATTCTTTCTGTAAGATTACAACATCTGAACATTAGCTGAGTTAATATAAATTATTGAATATGGGAATGTCAATTGGCATAGTAGCTAAGGTGTTGGACTTCCACATGACCAACCATGGATCTAGCCCTATACCTCAAAGCTTGTTTTCTCATTCTCCCTTTCTATCCTTCTCCCTCTGGTCATATTGAAGAATAACAATAAATAAATAAGGGTAAATAAATAATTCTTTTATAATATAAATATTGTTGAATATGTTGGAGAACCTTCACATTTATTTATACCTCTGGGGGAAATTATACATTCATATTTTTATTTATTAAGCACTTATGAATTAGAAGGCACTGATTTTATAATTATTCATACAAACTCTTCATTGTGCAATCTTTTCCACATCTGTCTGTACAAATATAGCATGTTGAAAACTGGTTCTCACACAATCCTTAAAAGAGTTATAATGTTTCTTTTCTTGATTCTATAAGATTATTTATGGACCAAACTACTATTCTGTGCAATATGAAGTGTTTTCCATGTCAGCAAAATATATTAGCCCTATGTTATCTGATTTGACTGATGACCAGTAAAATACAATTTTTTTAGAGAGAGATTTTTGCTATAGGGCATGTGCACTCGCTGAAGAGAGAGGGAAGAGAGATAGAAAGTGAGAAATCACCCCCCATGGGGGAATGGCCACACCACAATCTCTTCTCCATTCTCCTCTCAGGATCTTGGGCATGCATGCACATGTACACAGTGTGAGTTGTAAGCAGCCGGGTTCAGGACTCAAACTGTGGTCGATTAAATGGGAGTTCAGAGACGTAACCATTATGCCATCTGTTGGCTCCAAAACACAAAATGTTTAAAGTATGGTATACACAGTCACTATATTTGTGGCATACATTAATAAGATAACTAAACGTCATTAAAAGGTGCCACTCATGGCCATAGAACAGAGGCACAGCTTGATTTGGCCCTTATTATTTGTGATTTATTCCCAATTGAAGATTGCACAAAGTTATTTTGTCAGGCAATGTATCCTAATGTAAGGGTTAAAAAACATGCTAACTGTGCCTACAAAAGAATAAAACCCCAGGTCTTTGAACCGTGTGTTAGGGCAATATTCCAAACCATCATACAAGGTTCCAAAACTGTCCATTATTGCAACATTTTTTATGAGTACTGATCAAGTATTTCATAGAATGTCCCTCTATCTGGGATTGGCTGATATCTTCCTGTTATTATACTGAGGTTATGGATTTGAAGGAAGACTACTACAAAGGTGAACTGCTCTTTTCATCACATCAATATAGGGATACAGGATATCACCATGACCTATCAATGGTGATGTTAACCTGGATCACTCAGTTAAGGTAATGTCTACCAGGTTTCTCCAGTGTGAAGTTACTATTTTCCCTTCCATACTCTGTTCACTAGACATGATTAATGTTGGTTTTGAAGAGGGATACCCCTATTCTTGAGCATTTATCTGGAGACTTCGGTTATACTGAGATAAACTAGTTGATCAGTGTTGCCATCTTGTGGTTCATTGATTATATGGAAGTTGTTTTGTGATCTTAGCTGAAAGTTATATGGTCATAAACAGATAATCTCCCTAAATGAGTTGTGGAACTAGGATCCAAAAATCCAGTTTTCAAGATGTGGCTTTTTTCCCCACTTACAAGTGTGTGTTTTACAACAAATTAAGTTAAAATACCATTTGTTGTAAATACACATAGGCAGTCATAAGAAAGGAGTTGGGCATTGATTCTAGACTGAGTGTTAAATAATCTCACAATTGTCATTGACTTTAGTGAATATTATACAGGGAAATCACAAGGAAATCCTTGAATTATAAATGTG